TATTGTCTGCTATTCCCATGTAAACTGTGTATTGTTCTGTGTTGAGTATTCACAGTTTACATGGAAATCACTCCTCCCTACCCAGGGTCTCACAGTATATATAGGCCCACTATCTTCTATTCCAGTATTCTCTGAAGATGTCAGCCACAGATGCTGGCGAAACATCAGAAAGAAACTCTTCTAGAAAATGTCAATGTGAGTTTGGAAAGCCACTTTGAAATCAGATACACATTCTAATCAATGAAGAGATTTCATTTGGTTTATAAACATGGGAAAAGATAAAAATATATGTGATTAAAAATCCAAGTGCAATTCTTATAATTTCTTTTAAAAATATGATTTCTTTTTCAATGCACTGTTAAGCGGTGTGGAATATTTACCTATTCAAACTTCTGTTGTATGGCTTTTGTTCACCAATAGCAATATCTGAAAGCTCTCTCAGATTAGGTCCTCCATATGAGTCACATAACTTATTGAGGTGATCTCTATGGGCCTTGATGGGAGTTCCTTGATTCAGAAAGGGAGGACATATATAGATGGGGAACAGCAGGGTTTCTGGGAAATACTCTACACAGTTGGGCAAGGCCCATCCAGTTTTATTTGAGAATGTTTGTTACTACTTTTGTATGAGCTTTAATATTTGTTTTAGGAATCTGTTAGTGGATCTAACACTTCCCATGCAACACTTTTCCATGGAGTCAGTTTTCCCATTCTATTGCAAGCCATTATGCAGTAAGTAGTCAAATGGTGCACAAAGATGCTGAAATGAGCATATCTGTTGTACATCCTCAATAATGTCTTCCATTCTAGGTTAAGTACCTGATGTCCTGGATAGCAGACTTCCGGTCTCTCTTTTTGCTCCAAACTTTAAGGCTGTTCACAAGTAAAATGATAAATTCTCCATTCTTCATGCCAATGGCAACCATCTCACCATCGGGACTGTAGGCTGCACACCTGGCAGCATGGCCCAGATTCACTTTGTTCAGAAGTTTCTGTACACCAGAATTGACAATATTTTTAATAATGGTTTACATGACTTACGACACATACTTCTTGTCACACTAAAATCAATACACATAACTCCTATCCGCCTGAAACAAGAACATGCAAAATCAGTAAGACAATCAGTAAAAACACCAAGCAACTATTTGTTAGGGAAAGTGTGCACACTTGTGGTCAGGGCAGAATCCATTCCTCTGCTTCCTATTCCAAAAAGCAGACTGTTGTTAGCACTACTGGGGCTACAAGGATGCAGGGCCAGGGTCAGCAGCTAGATAAGGCTAGAAACAACAACTCTTTGTGCACTTGATCCAATATGCAGCTATGGAGCCATGATGGGGAAATCTGCTTCAGCCCTCAGATGGGTTGGAATGATATTTATTAAGTGCCAGAGAATAGATTTATGAAAATAATGTGACAAAAGCCAAGATCCTACATCAGTGTGTAACTCCACAACTGTAGTTCCTCCCTCTCCCATCCCTTGACAGCTGTCAAGACCCAGGAGAGGAGCACCTGTTGCTGTCACAGGAGGGAGGGGGAGGCAATTCTATCCCACAGAGAAGCAGCTGGCTTCAGCTTAGTTATGGGTGGAAGAAACAAGGATGTGTTCTCAAATGGAGTGCACCTGCCCCTTCCTTTCTGCAGGCGCTTGGAGGACCCAGATCCTTATGGTCTGAGTTGTCTCCCCCTCTTCTCCACCAATAATTAACAGCAGCAGAAAGTGCTGGAGTGTGACAACTACAGTAAGAGGCTTTTGGACAGAGTGTTGGAGCAAGTATATAGCTCTCTGGATTCTGTCCCAAACAGGAGTTATACACACATAATAGAGTGAGTGTGGTGTAGTGATTTGAGTGTTGGACTATGACTCTGGAGACCAGGGTTTCATTCCCAGACAGTCCATGAAACTCACTTGATGACCTTGGGCAAGTCACATGGTCTCAGCCTCAGGGGAAGGCAATGACAAACCTCTAAACAAATTCTGCCAAGAAAACCCCACAATAGGGTTGCCATAAGCCAAAATGATTTGTAGGCACACAACAAGTCACTAACAGGATGATGGCATATGGGTATAATCCATGATGTGGGTTATGAGCCACCTGGTAATGAAGCAGTTCTGACAGCTGCTGGCCTAGGCATGGCCCTGAATTATTTTGCCTCAAGATCTCCCTCCTCTGATAAGTAAGGGAGATGGTTGGTTACACAGATCCTGTCTGGCATCTTGAAAATGATGTGTAAAATGGTAAAGGTAAAGGTTTTTCTTTGACAAGACTGCCTAGTTGTGTCCAACTGTAAGGGGCAATGCTCATCTTGGTTAGTAAGCTGAAGACCCAGTGTTGTCAAAGATGACTCTGTGATCATGTGGCCAGCATAACTGCATGGAACGCTGTTACCTTCCCACCGAAGTGCATCTATTTATCTTCTTGCACTTTTATATGCTTTTGAACTGCTAGGTTGGCAGAAGCTGGGACTAGTGATGGGAGCTCACTCCATCATGGAACGCTTGGGCCTTGAATTGCTGATCTGTTGATCTTGCAATCATCAGAATCAGGGTCTTAACCTCTGAGTGACCATTCAGTATAGGCATGATTTTCTATTAGTTCTCGATATGAATCCTTTTTGGTTGTGACTCCATGACTCCCACCCCAACCACCTACCTGTTGTTAGTTTGAGCACCACCCCCCAAGACCACTCAATGCTCAGGAGAGGCCAAGACAAGGGGCAGCCAGGCCACAGTTGTCTGCAAAAAAACATGCCCTCTCCTGGAACTCCTGGGAATGCTCTGGTGATCCAGGAGGATGACATCCTCTTCCTGAAGTTGGCTGCTAGGATTCAACTGCCTGGCTGTTCCTAGTTCCTCCTTTGGTTGGTGGGGCAGCAGGGAGGCACTGAGCCTAATAGTAGGAAGATTGAGTACTTGAGGATATAGCCTAGTAGAGCATACCATCAGTCTGATGTAGGATCTCAACCCCCATTTCTCCCCAAACTGTATGCCGCCCAATGCCTGAAATGCCAACAAGGAAGTTGTGACAAAAAGAATGAAGAATGCCATTGGGGGGAGGGGAGACTGGGCATCACCTAGGGAAAAGAAAACCAGAATAAGGAGGAAGAGTGGTACAGGCAGGATCTGAAATGATTGTTGGGCTGGCAGCACTGTGAGGCATTTTTATAGTCCCCAAGTGGACCAGAGAAGAAACCTCCCTGTCCCAGTTCACCTGGAGAGCCCTGCCCTCAAACTAGGTCTTCTCGCGCTAACCCACACAAGCTGAAGATGCTGCACACGACCAGAGAAGGAAAGATGGTTTTCCTCTCTCTGTATCTCTGTACTGGCTGGAAGTAAGGATCCTGATGAGTTTGCATATGTTAATTGCCTTTCAAGACTGCTGAGTGATTTATAATATAAATATTAATATATAAATATAATATAAAACATCTCTTTGTGCAGTCAGGTAGAAAATACCTCTTACCTTGTCACAAAGATCCCAGATCCTTGCAGTTCCATCATTACTAGCAGAGATAAAAATATCTTTGGAGGGATGAGTAGCCAAGCCCCAAATCTCTCCTTCCATGTGGCTGTCAATCAGCAGATTAGAAGCACCATTTTTTTCACCAACTTCAAGGATTTCGCCATCTTTGGTTCCCACTAAAATTTTCCCCTGTTTACCATTCAAACAAAAGCATGTGGAGTTAGTAAAAATAATGCAAGGAAAGGCACTGAATCA